CTCTGTGAACACAAATTAGTTAGCATAAATCAGTTAAATGACGAAAAATTAGGTGTCTATTTACTTGTGATTACTCAGTGTAGTTTGATGTTACCGTTTGAAGTCATTCTAGAAAGGAAAAAAGGCTAATTTAGATTTTTTTGTGTGTGTGGTTACAAGGTTGATCAAATTTACCAACCTTATAGAGTTAGGGTATAGAAAATAAAAAGATAAAATTTAAAGTTTTACTGAAAACAAACATTTGAAATGTATTTAGGAGGTTTCAGAGATTAAGCAAATGAAATTTGAGATTTTTGAGGTGAAAAAAAAAATTTTTAAGCTTAATATGAAAATCACTTTGCACGTGGACTAGTAAAAAAAATAATTGATAAATTCATGGACAAATCTTGTTTTTTAGATTATTAAATATACTTCACTAAAAAAAATTTTATTTTTTGTATGTGAAAGTCTGCTAAATTTTGTGAAATATACATACTATATTAAAAGTTAGTAGTATCAAAACTATAAAGACTTTACACGAGTACAAATAGGTCACATGTTCGGTCAAATCGACCAAGTCTGTGTTGAGCGAGTTAATGTATACATTTATGCAAATGTTTAGATATTTAATAGACAAACTGTTTTCATGCACTGAAATATCATTTAATATTTAAGTTATGTTTATAAGAAAGTACCTCTCGAACAGCTTTCAGTGCTTCCAAACGATGCTGTGATGGTGGATACAACAACATTCGATGAAAGAGGGATTCTAAAACAGGTCGAAGTGATTTTACACAGCCAGCCAGTCGTACAAGTTCTTTAGCAATACTGTAATTGTATTGTGTGATAAATAATGCACAACTTTAATAGAAATACAGTATGTTTTAAAGAATATTGCCCACTACTATTTTTTATAAATATCTTTGCACATCATTATATAAACTGAATTAATTAAATAAAACAGCTTATAATTTTCCACTATAATTCTTCACTAAGTCTCATTACACACTTAACACTAGGTCATACAAAAAAGCACTATTCCAATCAGTTTAAAAATGGAAAAAAAAAACATCTTCATAGAGCATTTTAAGGATCTCTTAACCTAAACTGAACAGAATAATATCCAGTTCTTAATATACTGTTAGTGTATAGAGTTAAAACCAGGAGGATTAAACAATAATAGACTTTATTTATGAATAATATTGTCTTCATTACAAAATGGCTTATCATATTACAGCTGCAAAACATAAATTACAAAGTTCCATAATTATGGTATAAACTTCTTAATTTTAGTCCTTAATATAGCAAAATAAAAAATATGTCTTTTCAGCCTGAGAGAAAAACATTGATGCTGTTTAAAGTTTCAGTAAAAAAATAAAATTATCTTATTTTCTCTCTTCCAACATATCTTTTTATTAGAAATATAGACAACAGATGACTAAACTGTAAAAACATTTATACATAACTTTTCTCATAAGCCTATACAGTAGCTTTAATTAAAGGTTGTTAAATGGGGAGTAAGCTATAATTTTTTTTAACCTATATTTACTTGTACACATTGAGTTTTAAGTTTTAGTATTTCATTTGGTATCAGGATGTTGATTGTACTTCATTTAAACATGTAATGTTTTTGTTCAAAATGTTTTAAGAAACTATTGTTATAATGTCATCAACAACTACAGATATAATTGAAGTTTCAAAAGATCAGTTTATTTAGTACTTTGATACAAAGAAAACTGGAAACACTGTGATAGATAGTAGTAGTATGGCACATAATAAGTGGGAAATAGGCTTAAATTTGCTAAGAGCACTTGCTACATACCAGATACACACAGAAAAAAGCACCAAATAACTAACTGTTGGTGAGGATCTACTTTTACATATAATAGATATATTTAAACATAAGGGTGAAAGCTCTGCCAAACTTCATGAACATGACTATTGTAAACTTCTGCCCAAAAAATGAGCAAAAAATCAAAAATTGTAACTATACTTCAACTTAATGACATTTATTAACTAGATATTCTTCTGAAGGGTCCCAAAATTGTTCTGTTTCAAGAGTAAATAAAATCACAAGAGTAACAAACATTTTTATTTCTTCCTTTCAAGCTTATATGTCATGCTATGTTGTATCCTACACAGTGCATAATTCTTCGCATGATTCATCGCATACACACGTTTTAATGACATCACGACAAAATAACTTACAAAGTTGTTGATAAATGAGCCTTGTGAAACAAAAAATAGTTCAGTTTTAATTGACACTTAAATGCAAATAACTTTCTACATGCAACACAAGAATTTTCTGAATCTCACTTCAAGTCAGATATTAAAAAAATATATGCTACAGTCACAACTCTATTCTTGACCCTAGATTTGTTCAAGTTATGTAACATAAAGAAAGGAGAAAAAATAATATATCATAACTTGTTGAACATTAACCATATGATATCCTACATTAAAATAATAATTAAATGTACATTTACTTGCCTGTTAAAGATTATCAAACATCTGTTATCCAAAAACACATATAAACAGTCACTCTCCTCATTGCTAAGCTTTCTTAAACACTCTACCATTTGTTACGAAATTCTACATCCAGAAACTTACACATTTCAGAAATCTAAGCTGGGTCATACCATGTTAATCAAATAATTATACAGAACTTTCAACATATAATTACAAACAATAATTAGCAAATTACTACAAAACAACACATTGAATAAAAGTTGTAAAACAATAAAATAAACTGACAAACTACCACACAGCAAGACCAAGTTCTTCCATTATTTGTGTTCATAGAATCAGTGAGCAAGTTTTTTGTTTTTTTATTATTATTATTATTAGTCCCATCAATTACTGATGGAACACATTATTAATTTTAATATAAAATACTGACAAAGGTACTAATCATATTACTTGTTCAATACCCCGTCATCTACAATAGTGTTTTTTTGTCTACAATGTTGTTTGCTGGTAGCACTATCAAGTTATTTTTTTTCATTTCCTATAAAACATCCCCTATAATTAAAACATTTATTCTAAAAAAAAAACGTTAATTAATTCATAAATTTAAAATGCACTACCTTTAGTTAACATTTTCTAAAAAAACAAAGAGCAAAATTTTAAATAGAAAACAAATACAAATAACTTAATTTAAAACAAAATCGTGCAGTGTGTAAGATCTTTTGAGAAGTACCTGTAAATAGTTTTAGCTTCAGCACTGTGACAAGTAGGTGCTACAGCCAAACATCCTGATCCTCTTCCCATCTCCTTGCTATCACTTACTGTACCCTTCTGAGATGAAATAATGTTCTTATCAGTTCGAGGAGATCCTATTAATCCAATCAAAAGAGGACACAGTTGTTGCCTGTGAAGTATATGGAAATTTGTTTCAACATATTTTATTACTAGTTTTATAGAACAAACAAGCTAGACACAACATCAAAGTTTATACTAAGTAAATCTTTAATTGTTTATACTTCTCTATTACAATGCTAAACTCCGTGGTTCAATTCCCTGCTGAGCACTTGAAACAAATAATCAACCAACCAAACTAGTGTGAAAAAATGCATTAAAAAAATTTAACGTCAGAAACGAAAAAAATATTTTCACCCATTGGATCATTATTTTCTAATGCCCTTCATGTATAAACAAAACAAAAAACCTAGTAATTAAAAAGAAAATAGAAATACACATAAAAAATGCCAATTTTATTTGTATGCCATATGAAATATTTTGAGGTTAATTGTTCTCTTTAACATAAATTTATTTTTTGTGGTTTAAACATCACCAATATGAGATTATATTAATGCTATTAATTTAGTGGTTCCCAACCTTTTTGTCTGAAGTATCCCTAAGTTGACCCTCTTTCATCCTAAATAGCCCACCTTTGTAGTAGACCTAACAGTGTCAGATGTCTCTATGTTTGCACTCTCCTCTCTGACCTTACATTTTGTTTGTTATAATGAACTGATCCATCAATTGACTTATTTTCATATAGCAAATGTCACAATTAGAAAAAAATATTTCACTGAATGCAGTCAATCTACAACTATAAGCATGCAATGGAAAAACAAGCACCTCATACCACAACTGAAGAATAAGCTTTAGCAAACCAATAACACAGGCTGGCAGTGTTGACAACTTATTTTCTTATATTTTGTATTCATTACCCTTATTTATTTATTTTTTTGCACAGTTATTAGAAGTAGCTTGCATACAAACATTAGAGAATCAATGCTCTAAGTGACATGGTCTGCATGCACACATTCTATTTCCTTTAGAAGTTTTCTCTTAAACTGCTAATTAGAGAAACAATAATGGTAATTAACATCATCTATGACTTGTGTTAAGTGTCAAAAGGTATGGTTTTACAACACCTATGCTTCTTCCAAAGCATTAAAATGGTGCAAATAGTAATGAATTTTACTTTCCGTTTTCTCTTTTGTGATGGCATTTCTAGGATTTAGATTATCTTTATGATATCATAATTGTTTTTTTAGATAAGTCACAACTGATTCCCATCTGACAGCCATGATAATATGACAATCACAGCTAAAACTTGCTAACAGACAGTTAATGAACTTTATATATATTTCAAAATTACTTTTACTAAGTAACATTCAAATATAATTAGTTAACCTAAATTGAATAAACTTCATGGTTCAGATGACTTCATATTTCTTTAAGTCATATTAAAGACTAAATCTCCAACATTCAAAGGAGCTTGTATCAGCATTTAAAGAAATGGATGGATCCAATGACAAACTTTACACAATACCTTTAAAAGAAAAAAATTACAAACTCAATAACTCAAGCATTTCCAGATGAGAAACCTTCAAAAAAATGCTTGGGTTATCCAAATTCTAAACTTGTGATTCCACAAAATTCTTAATTAAAAAAAAACACCCAAATAAATTTGCCAACCAAAAAAATTAGCTAATTAATAATTTAGTTGTTCAACCAGAGTGATGACAAATTAGCATGAAAAAGAATAGCAGGAACTGAAATTAAACACAATAATTAATCATACCTTTAGGCTTGAGAGTATAGAAATTTAAAAGTTCATTCAATACAAACCATACTGATGTAGCAAACCAATTTTGTTGTTGTTTTTCAATTAAGGGGCTTTTTTTTATTTTTACAATGGCTGCAATGTTTAGCTGTAAATGCTGATTATGCATAAAGAGCTTAGTTTTTCAAGAAAAGTTTAAACCTTTTAAACTAACAATCTGTAAAACAAAAAATGTGAACATGAAAGAAATACCCCTCTGTTCAGCATAGTTAAAAATAAAAACATGGAGAGATTTTTAAAGGCTGGTGCATGTAAACACTGTATGAAAGAAAAACTGAGTCTCAATAAGCTAATAAATGTTAGAAAAGGTCGATTTCTGGCACATATTACAGATTTATACATCTTAGTGTTTATATAATTAGAGGTTTCTTATAGAGATCTATTTCTGACAAGTTGTTTTCAGGTTTCCCTAAAACTCAAAGAACTAAACATATGCAGCACTTATTTGACCACTGCTATGATTAAGCATCATCTGTCTCCAAATGATTCTTAATGCTTACTGAAAGCTCATGAAATTTTGTGAAGAGACAAAAAAACATATTAGAAGTTATTTTAGTATGAAAACTATAAAGGTCAATTTGGGGTCAAGGACTTGGGCAATTCAACTGAGTTTGTGGCGAGAGTGCTACATAGAAGCCAGCAAATTTTTCATAGTGTTTTGGCAATGTTTCTTTTTGTTGTGATACTGGATTTATGTTATATGTTTTTCCTTTGAAAGCTACAGAAATATTTTTGTATAATAAGTGTTTGTAAAAGATAGTTGGTTTTAGCAAATACAGACCTAAATGGATCTGTGGTGGCATTTGATGCTTGTTTTAAATTTTGCACAAAGCTACACGAGAGCTATCTGCGCTAACTGTCCCTAACCACTCCCTGCAACGTTTTTGTTGTGGATAGCAGTGTGGAATTTATTTTTTTCTTTGCATGAAATGAAACTAGTTTTATATTTTACTTAAAAGCTTCATAAGACAAAACAAAATAGAATAGTATCAGGATATAATTATGATAAACTGTGTTTAGAAAAGTTTAAGAATAAATAAATAGAACACTTTTAGTCACAACTTTGCTTGCTGAGGTTCACATGCCCATTTTAAGATTTTATAACTAGTTTAATTCTTTTAAACACACAACTTTTTGTGCATTCTGCTGGAATTATTTTCAAGATGTCCTAATAATTATCACCATACCTTATACAATATCTGGTCTATTTATAAAAGGTCGATAATAACATGGTTTGGATTAGTTTTCAGTCAAAGAGATATAAATGTCATTGGACATTGTCACCAACCAATCGGTAAAACGAGATTTTCATCTGTATGCTGGCAGCGTTCACTCCTGTTTTAAAGAGTTAAACAGCATTGTACCTGTCTCCTGGTTATTTCATGTTGTTCCATGTAATTCTAAGTATTTTATTCCTTATGTTTATAGATTTATAAATAGATTTTCATCTGTATGCTGGCAGCGTTCACTTCTGTTTTAAAGAGTTTAACAGTATTGTACCTGTCTCCTGGTTATTTCATGTTGTTCCATATAATTCTAAGTATTTTATTCCTTATGTTTATAGATTTATAAATAAATCATATATTTGCTATTGCTTTAGATTATACTTTTTTTTCAATCTATTATTCAAAATAATATTTTATTAATATTTTTGTTTTTTAACATTTCTTAAATCCACATCAACCAGTTAAATTTCTTGTAACAATTTTTCTGCTATCAAAAAAGTTTGGTAACTTCACCTAATAGTGTGACTTGGTTACTTTTAAGTTATGTTAAAAATAAATTCAAGTACATTAACAAGTTATTTCTCTATCATGGTGTAAGGCAGTGCTTTCCAAACTTTTTGTTATGGCAACACACTACATATGTACCAAAAATAAATCGACACCACAGAGATTAGTATAAACTATTACTGAATTTTATAACAGTTATAAATAAAAACAACAACTTAACAAAACATTTTGTACAATTTCCAAAAACATGGTGACACCCCTCAGAGCATGATGCGGCACCCCAAGGTGTCGCAACACCCACTTTGGAAAGCACTGATGTAAGGGATGTTTTCATACTATATATTCTTTTTCTGTGTATAATGTATTAAAATAAATTCAAGTGATCATAAAAGGGAATTTATTTCTGACACACACCTGTGTATTTAATTAAATGTCAAACTTGTTCAAGAACTGTATTTTTTTGCAAATAATACCCACTTCATCTGATTGCTGTAATGTTGCACATTGTGCTAAATGGTCAATGACAGCAGTGTTCTTCATTGGTAGAGCAGATGATAGCTAGAGGCTAAAGTCTCCCCTGCATAGAATGAGAACGACCAGTCATGTGTATAGTGCTAGTCATTATAAGTAAATCCAACTTTTTGTGTTAAGTAAGGAGCAATGGATTCAAACAGTTCTACATGGTATATGAGTGAGTTGGTTGACAGAAAGATGTCTCAAGCAAAGAGCAACTATTAACTCAAGTTAAGTAGAAGGTGTTTGTTTGTTTGTTTTAAATTTTGCGCAAAGCTACACGAGGGCTATTTGCACTAGCCGTCCCTAATTTAGCAGTGTAAGACTAGAGGGAAGGCAGTTGGTCATCACCACCCACTGCCAACTCTTTTACCAACGAATAATGGGATTGATCGTTACATTATAATGCCTCCATGGCTGAAAGGGCGAGCATGTTTGGTGAGACGGGGAATCGAACCAGCGACCCTCAGATTGCAAGTCGAGCGCCCTAGCTACCTGGACATGTCGGGCCAAGTAGAAGGTGACCTTCAGTGTCCAAGTACACACTGTGTATTTTGTTTTTCATTATAAACAAAGATTGTTCATTTCGTATTAGAAATCATATACAGTTCCTTTATTTCTTATTTTAAAAGTCAGTCAGTTTAGTTAACTTCATAATTTATCTTGCTGAACCACATATTATAAAGTAGATCTACCAACATTCTGTGGAAATCAGTTAAACTGAGAATATCACATTAGGATATTTATAATTATTTATATTTATTTTATGAAGTAGATGATGAGATCTGCTTCAGAATTGATTTATTTTCACAATATTTTGGACCTAGTTTAGTGAAATGCTTTGTTGAAATTAAAGAAATTCATAGATGAATACAAGTAGCCACTTCTTTCCAATGGTATGTACATTGAACTTCTTTACACCATGTTGTTTCTCTGTGTATTATATACCGTAATGCACTCAGTTAAGCATGATACATGTACATGTGTGAGTACTTTAGCATTGTCACCTAGCAACATGCAAGGTTTCAGCCATTCCATTTCAGCAGTAGCTGTTTTTTTATTCACATTGTAGTTAACTATATAAGAATCTTAGTTTGACTAATCACAAAATTAGGAGGAAAAGCACAAGTTCACTATATCATCTACTGTTCAGTTGGAGATAAAGAAAAGAAATGTAACTAGTGTGAACAAGTGTTTTCCAGTTCTTTAATATTTGTTGGATGTCCCTTCATGAGTATAAATTACATAAAATCAAAGTAACAGGTGGAATTTCTTTGCCTCAAGACAGGAAGAAAACAGACTGGCATGACTATATAAATGAGTATTTGCAGCCACAATTTCTCAAAACATATTGACCCTGCTATAAATGTTTCTTTAGAAAAGCTTTAATAAACTCTTTGGATCCTCTTTATGAATGGAATAAACGTTACATTTTGTTAATGAAACTCATGTTTTAAAGGTACTACAAAATATGTGCATTAATCAGCATAATCACTAATAACAAATAATTCTCCCCCTAAGGTATGTATAAAATCAATAAAACACACAATAGTTCTTTGAAAAACTTTAATGAAGGAGTTTAGCAGGTGACACTAAACTAATGGTTTGTAGCAGTTTTAGAGGTTAAAATAATGTACGTTGGAGAATTTAATTTTTAATGAAAACTAAATAATTTCAGCTTTTCTATAGCTCAAAAAAAGATTAAGTAATGGTCAGAAAGACAAACAAGAAAGATTCAAACCTACTGGACATTGACCAATTACCAAATAATGTCACTAAGAGATTTTATATTAATGAGCCGAAGGTTGCAAGGCCTAACTTGGTGGTGGATAGTATCCTTAGTAGTTATGAGTTGAAGAAAACTGTCAATTATCAGCTACAAAATTTTGCTGGGCTCTGTCGAACGCTCTCTCTAACAAGCGTGTTGGTGCTCGATGTATATATACACATACATAGAGTGCTCAATACATGTATGTGCATGTATATACACTTACATATATTGAGCACTATATATACGTTTTAAATTCTATTTGTTCTTGTGAAGAGCAAGATAATAAAATATACAAAAGCATTTTAGATATATCACATAAAAACACTTTAAAAAAGAGCAAATATTCAACAAGTATAAGTATTGATTATTAAAGAAAAAATCATATTACATAGATTATCACACACACACTTACTAATCCAGTCAAATCAGAGATATCATGAAAATGTTGAATCTGACCAAAGTTGTCAAATAATGACCAAACGAATATTTTTTGCTTCAATTAAATTTTTAAAAAGTAAGTTTATTTTTTCTCCAAGACAAGTCAACTTTTCTATGTGCTTACTCACCAACTGAACTACATCTGTGTTATATTCATGGGATGAACACATTTATATATATTAAGTTGGGGAAATTTACCAGATAAAGTACAAAAACTGAACAAGTGCTCAAAAAATTATACATTACCAGTGAACCACAATTACATTTATGACATCAAATTCTGGTAACTTACCAGATAAAACTGATGAATAATGAACTCTTCTGAACATCTTCCTTTAAACTGGACAGTACAGCAAGCACGCACTGCAGTAGCAAAGGAGAAGCCTGCTTCCCATGTTGGCTATAAAAATAATAAAGATACCTGGTGAAATACATTAGTCACAAAGAATTATATGTTTAAAACACATTTTAACATACTCTTTTCACATTGTTTATTATCCTCATTCATGTCCCTACTATGAAATTATGTCTACAAGATAGTTTTTTTTTATATATTTCAAAACATTAATGCCTATTTCAACCACAATATCAGTTTATTTACAATGCACCCTCAGCTATGTTAATATAATGATTATTCAAGAAGTTGTTTATTAATTCATTTCTGATTCTTTTTGACTGACCTTGGCCAAAAATGCTAACAGCAACAAAGATACCTACCCATTTATAGTAGTGATTAAATACAATCTAAAAATATAAATCTCAGGTTCTCTAATTTATACTGTATATAACATAACATAGCGTTCTTTGTATAACGTAATTTCTCAGAATTATAATAAATGAATTACATTTAATTAATTGGTACTGCCAAACTGTCCTCTTTACAGTATACTTCAAATTGTATTCAATTGTTAATTTAAATTCAGAATAGATTATTAATAAATAGTTACTGCTTACTTTGAACTTATAAAATATCTATCTTTAAAACATTCTGTTAAGTGTTATAACCAAAGTCTTCACAAACTCTAACCACTTTATCAAGCAATATGACCTGATCTTGATCTGTCCTCAGACTAGCCTCATGTTTCTTACACATTCTAGCATAACTTCAGTATATGTTTTTTTTTACTTTTTACTTGCCTAAGTATTCTATTTAACTTAACCTCACTTTATTCTCATTTATCTACCTACTTTATCTGCCAAACATTTTCACCCACCACAATCTGTCCTCAACTTTAACTTAGTCTAATGTTTTGCTTTAAGTTAAAACGTTTAACACAACTTAAGAAAGCTAAGAGCTTAAGATAATCTTAATTATATTCTTTTACAAAATCTACAGCATTCTATAGCCTTACTAATGACAGGTTTATATAAGTTCAGGATGGAAGCTGGAAGTCTTGCTAGCTCACGTGATGGAATCCATCCAAAATAATGATGAGAGTCAATGTCTCAGATTTAAGTCTGGTCCTGGCATATTTTTCAACATTCTAATTTCTTAAATTGTATCCAAACAAAGAATGTAACACCCTACCTTAAGGCTATTTGGACAAACTGAATAGCACACTGCATTATCTGAGTTCATTCTCTGCTGCTTAGTCAATTAACCAAGCACTGTTCATGTTCTTAGTTGACCTGGGATGAGATTGCCTGATATCACAGTGTATATAAAAGAATATAAACATTTGGAGGTATACTGATGTCCAAATGTTTTCTCAAGTTATTTTCTATTGTCACTTCAAAGATGAATTTTGTGCTTACTGGCATGATATTGTAATGACTCATTGGAGTTTGAACCTCACAAGTTGTTGTGAAAACATCATTCTCAGATCTCTGTTACAAACTCAAGTTCCTAGACTGGACACTTGTTCTTACACCCTTATCTGCCAAAGTTGAATTAGATTTCAAATTTCATTGTTTTATGTAGTTTTTATCTTCTTCTAGAAAAGTGACTTAATAAACTAGTATGATGTGAGAATTTCTCTTTCTTACAAAGCTTGGCAAGACAATGGTTCAATGACAAAGTTTAAATGTACTCAGCTTAAAACAAATAGGTTCTGTATAATGAAGTGCTAAACAAGAAAGATTTTCTGAAACTACTAAAACTTTGCACAAATGATTATAAAACTTTTAACAAAAACAATATACTACAAGATGAAATCGGCTTTTACTAAAGGTTTTACAGTTATGAACAGGTATTTTCATTTGTAAAGTTTAGGATGTTTTTAATAAAAGATCCTACTAAACTGTTGGTTTCTTCATGAGCAACCTGTTTCCCACTTAACATGTGAGCTACCAAGCCTTTTTTCTGTAGATATTTGTGTATAGCCAAATTTATATCTCACAGTGTGATAGTGCTAAAATTTTTATTTCTTTATCTAATTATATATTTATTTGGTCTGTTGATGTTTTAACCCTTTTTTGATTGGTTGCCAGTGAGTCATATGGCCTCAGAAAGTAGAAATATAAGCAATAAATCAATACAATCCAAGAATATTTCCACAATCAAAATAATTTTAGTTAATAGGCAAGATTCATTTATGAACAAGAACAAAGATAATTTTATATCTCCATGTATTATGGAAAAAAAAAGAAAGAATTATTTTTCTTCAAAAATAAGTAGCTTTTCCTAGAAGGAAATGAGCACTTTGGAACACCAAAAACAAACATCACCATCACAGGCCATAGGTTTCTGTTGAGCCTGAAAGAGAACAAGCATTATAACCCACCAGTGTGACATATGGCTTTATGAAATAACGACTATACGACCAACCCATGAGTAATACTGCAGCTAATGTGTTAAACATAAAGATTTTTCCATTTATCTGATATAGTACATGAAAAGTTTCAATCTTTAGGGATAATAAAGACCATGTGAAAATAATACATTATGATTATGTTTTCAAAACGTTTTCATTGAATACATAAATATCTTAAAATATTTCATTCTGGTTTTGATACATACCCACTACATTCTTTCAAGTTATCGCAGAGGTACTTCAAAACTGGTACAAGTTCATCAACTTCACCTGCAACAGGGCTTTTTCCTAATGAGATAATAAAATATTGCATTAAGTAGATTCACTGCAGAATCAAGCACTTTAGTAAACTGTAACTTTATATGGTAGTTTACTAATTTCCTATTTTGAAAAATGGGTCTTTTTATACTTTAGTGAATGAACATTTGGACACATTAAAAATGTTCAAGCTCTATATTTAAGCTAGCAATATCACAAAATAATTAAAAGCAACTTTGGATCTAATGTCTTACTTTCAGTAACCTCATCTGTGTCTCTATCTTCATCACTCTGAAACAAAATAATTGAAATGTTAAAACAAATATAAGGACTTCCCCTTCAAGTATAATTAAAGCACTTAAAAGCTTATTTAAATTGCATGTTTTTCTTTACAATCATCAATCTAATCAGTTGTAAAACAGTAAACTAAAATATATATAGCTTAAGTCTAGTAACATGTCAGCTTTAAGGCATTTCTGTATTTAGAGTCAAAGAAAATAGTTAATTTTGATATAATTCTTACTTAAAGAACATGGTTGACTTGAATTACTGAGAATTCAATAAAAAATTATAAAGGTGTACTTTAGTACACTGTCAGGTTTTTCTAAACAGTGTAGCTTATTTTTCCAGTTGTATAGGTTACAAGTTCCTTTTCACACAACTTTTACATTTATTTTAGTTTTTAATTGTTATAAGAATATGCAAGTTAAAAAAACTACTATCAGTAAAGCATGTAATACCTGAACCTGAATAAAGACACCAAACCCTACCACGTTGACATATGTCTATAAGAAGAACAAGAATTAATAATATCTGCCTAAAACCTTAAACATGAACACACAGGAAATGCCTACAAGTAAACTGTGGACAAACAACCATTACATAAAACCTGAAAATGAGAAAACATCTATAGCCTGAACATCAAATAACTACCTACAGCCTGAACACAAGAGACTAACTGGAGCTCCTGCAACTTGAACATTGAAATACTAATACCATAGAAAATCTAAACTTGTACAAACCTGGAGTACAAAATGTAGATGAAACTAGTAACTTGAATAGATAAGAAAAACACTAAGTACAATCTGAACATGGAACATTAATTATTACTTAAATTGTGATCAAGAAAGATAAGCCATTATTTAAAATTTTTAAATTGAACAAAAAAATTTATGCCTACAATATTTACCAACAATTCTGCATATATACCTCATCAGAATGTTCTGGCTCTTGAACAACTTCTGTGAAAGACTGTAGAATCTGACTAGCTGTAGCTAAGGCTGCTGTACGAACTCCTATTGACCCTGTACTGTACACCTCTTGACATATGGCAACAGTTCCCAAAACGGAGGGAGTTGTAAGACTCCAACTGCATGAACAAGCCATTTGAAGTT